ATAGCATCTCTGCTTTGGCAGTGAATGAATGAGCCAAGGCAGAACCCAATGGTGCCCAGAGGAGACAGATTCCAAAAAAAGTGTGTTCAGAACAGTGACTCTCTCAGAGCCACAACGGTTACTTTCTTGGGGTATAGGTTCATTAGGGCTCTCAGAATCCTTTAATTGTTGCTTTGATTTATTTCTCACGGAAAGCCAGGCACTTCTCTTGTAGCAAACAACTGTGCTCAGGCATAGGCACAGGAAATGTGGATGATGGGTAAAGGTGAGGAATCCTTTTCACTCTTAGGGCAGCATTTCCTCTTGGAAAGCCTCTAGGAAGACGAGGAAGGAATGTCTGAAAAGATGCTACCTCCAACAGAGCTTGGAGTTTCATGAACAGAACTGGGATCTCAAAGCAAAGTCTGTTCCTAGAGAGGCTATAGGCTTCACACAGAGGGTAAGGAACAGGAACTGAGTCAGACCATTGGACCCATCTAGCTCAATATTGTCAACACTGACTGGTAGCAGCTCTTCAGGGTTTCAGGCAGAGAGTCTTCTTTCCTATCCCTACCAGGAGATGCCAAGGATTGAACCTGGGACCTTCTGCATGCAAAACTGCTGCTGTACCATTGATCCACGGCCCTTCCCTTAAGACACAGGAACATAGGAAGCTGCCTTATACTGAATCATACCATTGGCCCATCAGCCTTAGTATTGTCTACACTGACTGGCAGCTGCTCTCCAGGGTTACAGGCAGGGCATCTTTCCCAGCCAATGCTCCCAGAGGTACCATTGGGGACTGAACCAGACACCTTCTGCATGCAAAGCAGATGCTCTGCTTCCGAGCTATGACCTTTTCTCTTGATTTGTGCCCAGAGACAAGTTGTTTATGTTATGCATTCTCAGGATTGCTGAACACATTGTCTTAAAAGATCCTGTGTATATGTGACTGTGCAGTGTGGCAGCCTTCCCTTCAACTTGAAGAACTGTGGTCCTATCAGCCAGCCCTTGGGTCTGCGACTGCTGCTGTTGAGTGCCAGATTGGCAGTGAACCCATGACTTGATTGTAGATGGGAAGGCCGATCTGGCCTGCATCACTGAGACCTGGGTGGGTGAACAGGGAGGAGTTGGTTTTACCCAGTTGTGCCCACCTGGGTACTCAGTACAGCATCAGGGCAGACTTGAGGACCAGGGAGGGGGTTGCTGTGGTCTATAGAGATTCTCTCTGTGTGTCTCTATCCAGGCTTTCTGTCCCACTGAATGGGGATCTTGAGTGTGTGTTCCTGGTGTTGGGTAGGTAATTGGGACAGATTAGAGATTCTCCTGGTTTACTGACCACCTTGGTGTCCTTCAGTCTCCCTGACGGAGCTGATCTTGGCGGCAGTGCTTGAAGACTCCTAGACTGATGGTTCTGGGGGACTTCAACATCCATGCTGAGGCAGTTGGCTCTGGGGTGGCTCAGGACTTCATGGCTGTCATGACAACCATTGCATCCTCACTATACCATCCGGCAGAGCTTTTCCGGGTCTTCAGCACACTGGCCCAAAAGTGGTGGCAGAACGCTAGGCATTTTGAGGATAAAATTCCTTGCATCCATCAGGACCTTAGCTCTACTGTTACAGCAATTGACTCTCAAGAGATACACAGAGCACTGTCTAATCCTGTTTTGTTGGTTGAATTTCATTGATCCGGCTCGAGGATGTTGGCAAGGCGTTTGGATCGGCACAATCGATTACCTGTGCTCTGGACCCTTACCCTTCTTGGCTGATAAAATCCAGCAGGAAGGAGACAGCTGTCAGGGCTAGGGAGGTGGTCAATACCTCTTTACAAGAGAGGATAGTTCCTGCCTGTTTCAAGGAGGCAGTGATCGCTTCTTAAGAAACCATCCCTAGATTCTGAGAACTTTGGGAATTACCAGCCAGTTGCCAACCTCCCTTTCTTGGACAAGGTTCTTGAGTGGGTGGCTGCTAACCAGATCCAGGTGTTCTTGGAGGAGACGGATTTTCTCCTTGATCTGTTGGTGGCTTTTGATGCCATCAACCACTGTATCCTCCTGGAGAGACTATCTGAGTTGGGAGTTGGGTGGCAGTGGTGGGTGTTACTATAATTAAATATACAAATAGATTGGTACCTCGGGTTAAGTACTTAATTCATTCTGGAGGTCCGTTCTTAACCTGAAACTGTCCTTAACCTGAAGCACCACTTTAGCTAATGGGGCCTCCCGCTGCCGCTGCGCCGCCGGAGCACGATTTCTGTTCTCATCCTGAAGCAAAGTTCTTAACCTGAAGCACTATTTCTGGGTTAGCGGAGTATGTAACCTGAAGCGTATGTAACCTGAGGTACCACTATAGACCATGCAAATGCTAGGATGTTTCAGGACCCAGGATAGCTCCCGCACATGAAAGAGGTTGTCCCTATGAAAGTCTAAGCCCAGTTGAGAGTCCTTCCACCGTTATGCACACCCTTGTGATTTGACCAGTTCCTGGGCCCTCAACCAAAGCTTTGATACAACGCTATTGAATGGTTGAAACTATTGTAATTGTCCCATCTAGCTTGTACAGTAGGACCTTTGGGAGAGTGCACTGCTTAGGATGGTTGCTCCTTGCCCCCAAGTCTTACACTACCCCCTGCACGGCTGAAAGGTGGGAACTACTCTGAGGGGTCTGCAGGAAGGCCAGCACATGGGGGCTGTGAAATCTCCTAGCCAGGTGACCGCGAGTCAGTGATGTTGCCATAGTGGAATCTTTTGGAAAGGCTAGGATGGGGATGGGGATGGGGAACCTTCTCCAGTTGAGGGGCCATATTCCCTTCTGAGGGACTTTCCAGGAGCCGGTGGTGGGTGGAGCCAGAGGCAAAAGTGGATGCAGCAACAAATGTTTTTTGTTTTACCTTCATATAGGAGGCTACTTTCTTCACCCACATTCCTCCATCCAGACAAAAGGCAGGAACAGAGTTCAATAACACATTCTAGCTGGGCAAAAACAAAGAGGGTGCAAAGTCAGGCTGGTGAGGGATGTGGCCTGGGGACAATTTTGAGGGCCAGTTAGAGAGGTCTGGAGGACTGCATTTGGCCCCCAGGCCTAAGGTTCCCCACCCAGGGGCTAGGCTGAAACATTTCAGGAGCAGAAAAATACATTTTATCCCCCACCATGAAAAAGTCTCACCTGCTGAAATCAGGCTGCTGGAGGGGAGCACATGGCCCACCTTCCACCCATCATAATTATACCTTGCGCTTCCGCCACTGCATACTTTGCAAATGTTAATTCACCCGCCCGCTGCGCATCGTGCATTTGGCAGCTCCTTAGCTTCACGAGATCTCTCTCTTCCCATTTGCCTTTAGCTTGCACGATCAGCTGTATGTGGGCGGCTTTCAGGAGTCACATCCGTTCAGTCGCCGCTCGACGTCTCCCCTCGTTCCAGACGAGGACGGGAGTTCCCTCTCCTCCATCACAGGAAGCGCTCTGTATGCTTTGGTGCTCCTCCCCCTCCCTTCTCTTCCGAGGCTGCAGGAAGCTTGGCATCTCACTGCGTCTGCACCCATCTGTCCATCTGGCTTGTAGGGTGTGCATGTGTGCGCTGCTTCGTGGTCTGATTCTCTTTGTCCCCATCGCCGTCTTCGTCATCGCTGCCGCCGCCTCCCTCTCCTTGGCATATGCGTCTCCCGCTTTTGGCAAGAATGAATTAAAACTGCTTCCTCTTCCTAGCTGAGGACCAGTTATTTTTAGCACGCTCACACATACTCATAAGCCCTCGCAGCCGGCAGTGTGGAGGTGTTTGTGATGAATATCAAGGCCCGGATAAACATGCGTGTGGCTTACTGCCGGTGGGCGGATCTGATGTGAGGCTGCTGAGTGGTTTTTAATTATTCCTTTTCATGATTATTACCGGCGAGGCGCCTGTGGTTATCACAATGCATGGTGCTCAGAGGCAGCGGCAGGGGGCTTGTGCTTTGGAAGGAGCCTTGGGCAAAACTGTATGCCTTCCCCCCGCACCATGCAGGATTTGAATGGATAAAGTCCAGTTCTACCCAGCATCCAAGGTAGAACATAAGAGCAGCTCTGCTGGATCAGGCCAGTGGCCTCTCTAGTCCAGTATGCTGTTCTCACAGTGGACGGCCAACTGCCCTTTCTGGAAAGTGCACAAGCAGGACCTGAGCACAACAGCAACTATTCCCTCTTGTGGTTCCCAGCAAACCGGCATTCAGAAGCCTACGGCCTCTGACAATGGAGGTAGAATATAGCCATACTGGCTAGTAGGCACTGATAGCCTTCTCTTCCATGAATTTGCCTGATCTAAATCATCTCAGCATAATGCAATGACAAATAACATAAGGAGTTCCCTGCTGGATCAGGCCAGGGGCGCATCAAAGTCCCGCATCAGGTTTTCAATGTGAATGGAGGTAAAAGAGGATTGGATGAACTCATGGAAGGTATCAGTGGCTGGTAGCCATGAGAGCTGTGTTCTGCCTTCATTGCCAGAGGTAGCATGTACTCAGGTCCTGCTTTCCTTTGGGGTTTCTGGTTGGCCACCGGGAGAACAGGGTGCTGGACTAGCTGGGCCTTTGGCCCAATCAAGCAGTGCTCTTATGCTCTTGTTCATCATGCTCCCCTTGGATGGCTTTAGAAGGGGATTCGACACATTGATAGAGGGCAAGGCTGGCAATGGCTGTTCCCTCCGCTGTTGGAGGTAGCATGTCTCTGAACGCCAGTTGCTGGGAATTGCAAGCAGTGAGAGTTGCTGTTGGGCTCAGGGCCTTCTTTGGGGCTTCCCAGAGGCATCTGATTGGTCACTGTCCAAACAGGATGCTGGTGGGCTTTTGCCTTGATCCAGCTGCCAGGCTCTTCTTACCTTCTTATTTTCCACTTTTGCATTCATATAGGGTGCTTCCGGTTGGGTAGCTGAAATGTTGCAAGGAGGTCGTCGCCAGCAGGGTGTTGTTGTTTAAACCAAGGAGCAGAGTTTAGGACCCCAAACTGTGATTAATCTGCTTCTTGTCCTTCCCTAAAATGTTTCTCCAGAGAGGCTGAGAGGGTGCTGCCACGAGCCAGGAACGACCCGCCTGCAGCCATGGAAAGCGGAATGCAGCTCCTAAACCGGGATGGGCACAGCATCTCCCACAACTCGAAACGGCACTACCACGACGCCTTCGTCTGCATGAACCGCATGCGGCAGCGATCCTTGCTCTGCGACATTGTGCTGCATGTGGCCACCAAGGAGATCAAGGCCCACAAAGTGGTGCTGGCTTCCTGCAGCCCTTACTTCCATGCCATGTTCACAAGCAAGTATCTCTACCCAAATCCTCTTCTTCTTCCTCCTTGCCTCAGTTGCCTTGAAAGTCTGCACCCAGATGGTTCATGTTCTGCTCCAGTTGAGGCAAAAATTCTGCAACCTGTAGAAATTCTGCAAGTCAAGTAGACTTTTAATTGGTGCCATTCCTCTTGCTGCACATAATTCATTAACCCTGAAATTCTTTCTGCTTTGAGACTTTCCCTTTCAGGTGAGCTGCAGAGCAGAGTTTCTCGAAGGGTGCATTAGATAACTTGCAAATGAACTTTAATAGGTGCATAATTTAATCTGGTGTTACTACTCATGGAGAAGGGGAAAGGGGCTATGTGGGGCACTGATGCCCCATATTTAATTTTTTTATATATTTATATCCTGCCCTTCTTTGTAAAGGCAAACACTTACATAAGAAGAAGAAGAAGAAGAAGAAGAAGAAGAAGAAGAAGAAGAAGAAGAAGAAGAAGAAGAAGATATCCCTTAATCATGACATATACAGTGGTACCTCGGGTTAAGTACTTAATTCGTTCCGGAGGTCCGTTCTTAACCTGAAACTGTTCTTAACCTGAAGACCACTTTAGCTAATGGGGCCTCCTGCTGACGCTGTGTCGCCAGAGCCCGATTTCTGTTCTTATCCTGAAGCAAAGTTCTTAACCTGAAGCACTATTTCTGGGATGGCGGAGTATGTAACCTGAAGCGTATGTAGCCTGAAGCATATGTAACCCGAGGTACCACTGTATATAGCAGACATTTTGGGTTCTACCCAAATAAATCCTACTCAGAGCAGATCTATTGAAATTAACTGTTCTAAGTTAGTCAAGTCCACCCAGTATAAACCAGCATGGGTCTCTAAGTGAGGGGGGAACTATTGGTAGTGTTGTCTCTGGCTTTTTAAAAGAATCAAACCCTCTTCCCAGAGAACTCTGGGAAATGTAGCTGTGAGGGGAACGAGAGTGAGTCTCCTAACAACTCGCAGCACTCTTAAAAGACTACAGCTCCCAGGAGTCTTAGACAAAGCCACGACAGTTTAACATTACAGTAGTGCCTCCGGTTGCAGACGGGATCCGTTCCGGAGCTCCGGTTGGATCCCAAGGTTTCCGCAACTGGAGGGACCGCTTCTGCGCCCGCACACACGGCGGTAGAGCGCTTCTGCGCATGCGCACGTGGTAAAAACCCAGAAATATACTGGTACTTCCAGGTTTGCTGCTTATGTATCCTGAAGTTTATGTAAGTAGAGGGATACGTAAGCGGAGGTACAACTGTATATGATACTGCTTTAAACGTATAGTGCAGATGGGACCATGTCTGAAGCAAGGGCTTCCCTCAGACCTCTAGGACTTGTGATTGTTACTACCCAGAGATGAATTTGGGACTTTCTGCAAAGAAAGCATCTGTTCTGCCACTTATCTGTGGCTCCTCCTCCTCCAGAGGGCTGGATGGGCCTTGGCTTTTGCTGGGCACAGTGACCACAATAAAGCACCTAGGGGCTTCTGCTTAAGATACCCATGGCGTCCTCACGGAGTTCCCTTGTGTTTCCTTGCCACCGCAGATGAGATGAGTGAAAGCCGACAGACCCACATAACACTCCATGATATCGACCCACAGGCGCTGGAGCAGCTGGTTCAATATGCCTACACGGCTGAGATTGTGGTGGGAGAAGGGAACGTACAGGTAAGATGGACCAGAAGGACCAGCATCTTTTCTATGGTTTCTTTGGGAACTGTCCTCACTGCTGCCTCACCTGCACCCTCTGCTGTTAAGAGGCAACAACATTGCTGTGGCATTCTGGTCTGATGCCCACAGACAAAAGTGGCAGGACCACGGACAGCTCCGAGGGAGCAACTTGCTCAACAAAGCTTGGGAGCAGGCTGAGGCCTTTGGGGTCTTCTTTCTCCTGGCTCTGCCCACCTTGGGAGAACTTCAGAACCTTTGGCCTGAAAACAGGCACAGATCCTCCATTCCATAGCTTCCCTTCTGGTGGGCTCTCAGCCCAGCCAGATTAGAGACATGTGGTTCTTCACGCAAAGGCATCAATGAGGGTCCAGCCTTTGTGGTCTGGAAGTTCTTGCCCAGCCACCTGAGGTGTGATGGTCTGCATACCTTCATGCAGTCAGGTCTGAGCCCTGACCCAAACTAGCTCCCCACTTGGTGCCTCTGCAGCCTCTGACTCTTTGTCCAGATCAGCGCTGGGTGCAAGGGCCATGAAAGCTGCTGCTGCTGCGCTGCCCCACCAGGCGAGCCATTCCTTTATATTTCCTTCTGTTTCCAGCGTTCAGGGGTGGGTACTGACATTTTTGTAGTCGAAATCGCACACACGCACAGAGGTCGGTATCAGTAGGCTTGGTGAAATCCCCCTGCAGAGAACCCTCAATTCTTGCAGTTGAACAAAAATAAACTTTTGTGGGGACGGGAATCCTAACAGAAGATCCCATCGACCCCACATCACCCCCAAAAAGCCCCACCCCAATGAGGACTGAGCCAGGGGACAGTTGGAGAGGTGGGTGAGAGAATGAGTGGAATGGAGGATCTTGGATATGGGCAAGGAGCACTCCACATGGCCATATGAGGTTCCTGGGTCCGTCTTGTTTAATGTCTATTTGTGTATCAAAACCAAATTGCAGCGGCACCTCCAGGCCCCTGAACCACAGATGCTGCCTGCCTGTAATCTTATCACATTGCCCTCCCTGCAATTCCCGATGATGTCACATGATGGCTGGCCGGGGCTTTGTTTGCTGCTGGTCTTGCAGTGCTTCCAACAAGGCTGGCTCAGCTGGCCTGGAGCAACCCCTTCTCTCTCCCCATCTGTGGATCTCTCTTGGGTTTTTGTAGGTTCCTACCAGAAGGTGATGGCTGAAAGACTGCTCAGCCAAAACTAGGATAATTGAGGGAAGCCTTGGTCCAAAGTAGAAGCTTTCCTGCTATGTTTACACTGACTGCACAGCTTTCCATTTTAAAAAGTGGAAAGAAAAATGATGACACACAACTTATTAAAATGCAAGAAGCAGAAGTGTTCTTAGGACTTAGTACTCTTCTCTCCTGCAGCTTCCAGGACCTGGTATTCAGGAGCATTGCTTCCTCTGGCTGTGGAGGTAGTGCATAGCCATCAGGGATAGAAGCCATTGATAGCCCTGCCTTCATGAATTTGTCCAATCCTCTTTGAAAGACAGCCACGTTGGTGGCCGTCACTGCCTCCAGTGGGAATGAGTTCTAGCAAGATTGGACCCTGCCCATCAGCTGGTGTCACCTAAAGATGTTAGCTGATTGGCAGGTGGGTGTGGTTTGGGGAGGAAATGACTTCACAGGCCAATTTAGACCCCCTGGTGGGCCAAGATCGTTTCCTTGTGTTTTTTCCTCTTTGGAAGATTTCTTAAATAAGTTTTCCAAAATTTCACACATACATTTCAATACATAATAAAAACATGCTTTTTTTTACTTCCCACTCCCTTTTCCAAGGTTTTTTCTGTTTCTCTCCCTCTGCTACATCCTGTCTTCTATCTCTTAAACCTGAACAAAACTACTCACGTGTTCACCATACAATAGTATTTCTCTAAATAATCCGAAAAGGGTTTCCATTCTTCCACAAAACCTTCATCGTTAGGTTCTCTTATTTTAGCTGTTAAATTTGCCAATTCTGCATAATCCATCACCTCACTTATCCATTCTTCTTTAGTGGGTATTTCTGCTTCTTTCCATTTTTGTGCATGGAGAATCCTAGCTGCAGTTGTTTCCTTGTTACATATATTGTACGTGTCACTTTGTAAACAGCTTAGGAACTGTCTTTAAGTACATAGCGGTATATAAGGAGGCAGTGATGGTCACCAACTTGGATGGCTTTAAAAGAGGATTAGATGCATTGATGGAGGAGAGGGCTAACGATGTCTACCAGCCGCAACGGCTATGATCTGCCTCCATAGTCTGCGGCAGCAATGCTTCTTAATAGCAATTGTTGGAAACATCAGGAGGGGAGACTGCTTTTGCGCTTGAATACTGTTCACTGGTTTCCCACATGCATCTGGCCAGCCACTGTGAGAACAGGCTGCTAGACCAGGTGGGCTATCAGCCTGACCCGCAGGGCTCTTCTTAAATATATTAAATAAAAATGGCCTGCACCCTAAAGGCTCCCCACCCCTAGCGTTCTGGTTCAAGAACTGTAACATGTTTGGAAAGTCCTTCTCTGTAGGTCTCAGCTTTTATGATTGTTTCTTGCGTGTCGGGAGAAGGATCGAAGAGGATGTTCCAGGGTGGCATTAGGACCAGGAGTGTCAGAACCAGCGAGGGTTGTGGGAAGTGAGATACCTGCCTGTAACAGGCTTTTTTGCCTTGCAGACGCTGCTTCCTGCCGCCAGCCTCCTCCAGCTGAACGGGGTGCGGGATGCTTGCTGCAAGTTCCTGTTGAGCCAGCTGGACCCCTCCAACTGCCTAGGCATCCGGGGGTTCGCAGACACGCACTCCTGCAGCGACCTGTTGAAGTCGGCCCACAAATATGTCCTGCAGCACTTTGTGGATGTCTCCAAGACAGAAGAGTTCATGCTTCTGCCTCTCAAGCAGGTAAGAGATTGCGCAGCCCTTTTTTGCCTTGTGTGTCAGGTTTCGCGAATGGTACGAAGCAGCACCAGGGTTCGCTCACCTGCTTGAGATTGAGGCTGCAATCTAGCTTTGCAAATGAAATCCACAAAACGTTTTAGTAGCACAAACTAAAGGTATAATGCAGGCTTCCTCAACCTCAGCCCTCCAGAGGTTTTTGGCCTACAACTCCCATGATCCCTAGCTAGCAGGTCAGGGATGATGGGAATTGTAGTCTCAAAACATCTGGAGGGCCAAGGTTGAGGAAGCCTGGTATAATGAGTGATCAATTCTCCCATCCCCCCATGTTTGGTTTTGCACACAGACACTCAGTCCCATCAGTTTATGCAAATGTCTGGATTCAGTGGGAAACCAGCACTGTGAATGCTGTCCAAACGCCCTAATAAATAAATATGGCTAGAGTGAGTCTGGCTCAGGATAGCACAGCTTCCTGTATAGTCCTAAAGGTTTAAAAAATTGAGGGAGGTACCTCCCTCCTAGCAACTTCAGTGCCTCCAATCGCTTTTCCAAACCACAGGCCAAGCTTTGCAGCTGGTATAAGAGTGCATGTAAATACGTGCTGACCTAATGTGCTTCTTATGCAGTAAGAAAACACCAGTGTGCCTTCTCATTAAAACTCCTCCTGTGTTTCCATGAGGCCATTCCTGCCTTTGCTGGTGGCATCATGCCAGCTTCTCCTTGGACACTGTTGCCTATGCTTGGCAGGCACCACTGTGATGCCCTTTGTAGATGGGAAGCATTGGGAAGGGCTGTGTTTTTTGTTTTCAGTGGGGGGGGCGTGCTTTGCATGCAGAAGGTATTAGGTTTAATACCCCCCAATCTGAAGTTCTGGAAAGCCACTGCCAGTCAATGTAGACACTAATGAGCTAGATGGACCAATGGTCAGAGTATAATGCAACTTCCTACGTTCCTATGGTTTATGTAGCTCAGTGGTAGAGCATCTGCTTTGCATACAGAAGGTCCCAGGTTCAATCCTTGGCACCCTCCAGTTAAAAAGGCTCTCAAGTAGCAGTAAAGACCTCTAGCTGAATCCTTGGGCAGCTGCTACCAGCAAAAGGGACCATTAGTGAATTTAGATGAGGGATCAGTAACCTGCTAGGTGGTTTTCAAATATAAAACCAAGCGCTAACCTATAAAGACCCATCATTGGCACACACAATAAAAGAACCCCATCCAAACACAAAAATTTGAACGTTCACGATTAGAATAACCAACAAGCAATCCCATTATAACAGCAACATAGTTAAAACAGGCTGCTGAGGTCCCAGTGAGCCTCTTCTAATGTTCTCATGTTGTTCTTATCTTGATCTCTTGATCTGGATCCAGCTTAGAAATGCTGGCGGTTCTTGGGATCATCTTTGTTCGATTCCATTTTTCCTGTGCAGTGTCTGAAATAATCCAAATTTTCTATCCACCCACCCCGGTCCTCCTCTACAGGTGCTAGATCTCATCTCCAGTGACAGCCTCAATGTGCCCTCAGAGGAGGAAGTCTATCGAGCTGTCTTAAGCTGGGTGAAGCATGATGTGGACAGTCGAAGGCAGCATATCCCTAGAGTACGTGGCTGTGCTGGTTTTGGTGCTGTTTGGGATGAATGTGGGAGGGAGGCTGCATGCTACATAGCCAAGAGTCTGATATTTTCGGCTGACCCCCCAAATGGTGGTTGCTGGGTCTCCAGGCTCTCCTCTGTCCCTTCCTTGGCCTCAGGCTGTGCTTCTGTGCAAGGTCAGGGACAAGTCACTGCTTCCCTCCACAAAGATTGGAGAGGGGTGGGGTGGCTCATCCCTGCAGCTGCACCAGAGTGTCTCACTAGCCCAGCAACAAAGCCACCATTTCCAGGCTTTCTTTGCTAACTGGAGCAGGTGCCAAGGATTCTCCCACAGTTGCACTGTTGGTTTAGAGCACAGCACAATGACAAAAGTGATTATTCCTATTAGCTGTCCAGCTCCAAGCTGGAGAAGAAGGCTCTTCTTATTTTACTCACCAAAGGAAACACTCGTCGTGGCGAACAGAATTCTTGACCCCTCTGTATGACATAATCGCACAACTGATTTCAAAAACAGGACAGCCTTCTTTTTCGCCTACCGATGGATGCCATTCTAGAGACAGAGAGAAAGAATGAATGGGTCATCTGATTTTATTTCGCTGTAGTTAAGAACGGGAAGGAATTCGACTCAGTTCACGTTTAAAAGCAAATCTATCTAATTTGCACTTTCCGAAACGATGCAGAAAGCAAAGCACAATCGTCCTCCGAAATGTGCAGATCTCTGAATTTCTCAGTGCAATTCCCCTCACAGAGCAACAGTTCTTACAACTGCTTAACAGTCAATCCCACTTTCTGGGGGACTCTGGAAATTGTAGCTAATAGGGGTTGCCTAACAACTCTCAGCGTTCTTAACAAACTACAGTTCCCAGGATGCTTTGCGGGGAGCCATGGCCATTTCAACTGAGGTAGTGGTTAGAGAGTTGGACTAGGACCTGGGGCAGCAGAGTTCAAATGGAGGGAAAAGGTGGGATATAAATACAATGAATAAATTGATACTGCTTTAAATGCATAGTGCAAATGGAGCCTTAGTTGGGTGCAACCCTTAGTGCAAACAAGTTTGGGTCAATCCCCAAGGAACAGGTTGTCCAAAAGCAACCCTGTTCTTGCATGATTCCAGTTCTAGACTCTTCCTTTTATTTAGTTCATGTCCCCCCTCACACCCCGCCCCAACCTTCTCCTTTCTTCTCCCCAGCTCATGAAGTGTGTCCGGCTTCCCCTCCTAAGCCGTGACTTCTTGATGAGCAACGTGGACACAGAGCTGCTTGTGCGGCACCAGTCAGAATGCAAGGACCTTCTCATCGAAGCCCTCAAGTACCATCTCATGCCTGAGCAGAGAGGCGTCCTTAGTAACAGCCGAACGCGCCCCCGGCGTTGCGAGGGGGCCAGCACTGTGCTCTTTGCTGTGGGTAAGGACCAAGGAACTGGATGTCGGGAGTTGTGGGGAGAGGGGGAACTTCTGGAGGTTGGACAAAGGAAGGACTAGATGCGGGGAATGATTGTGCATGTGGCACAACTTCCTGGCCTGTTGGGGAGGCGTTTCCACTTTAGCACTGTGGGTTTTGTCTCGGTCTAGTCATAACTGTTAAGCAAAATCACATAAATAAAGCAAGCTGGAACACAGAGAGAAAAATCCTGATAACAGTTTTTCCGAGCCCACTAGACAAAATCAGTGTATAATTTGAGAAGAAAGAAACAGAGAGGTTTTTGTCTTTTCTTAGTTCAGGCCTTGTACAGAGCAGGGTTAGATACTCAACCAAACACAGGGAAAACTGCCTCGCAACTGCACAGCCAGTCACAGCACATGCTACCTCATGCAAGCACACGCTAAAGATCATGCTGCTCTGCTAGGTTGCTAAGCAAAACCTCCACCTATTCCCCCTTCCTTGGCTAGTTGACTAACACTTAACAGAATTTACCCTTAAGTTGTACAGTGAATGATCTCTGCTGTTGCACTTGCCACGATAACTGGTCAGCGGGCTATACAATATATCATCTAGATCAGGCACGTCCAACTCATAAGAGACTGCGAGGGGGGAAGCCAAAGTGGTTGAGCTTTTTTTGGAGAGGAGAAGATCTAACTATACTTTAGTTTCCTAACTCATCAGCTACATGTCAGCTACATACAATTAAATACCACCCATTTGACGCAATGGAGGAACAGAGCGATGGAGGAGGGAGGCGGGGACTTTCACTGCATTGCTTTTCACTACTGCCGATCGAGAGGGATCCTGTGATCAACCAAGATCAGCCAGGGATCGACCTGTCGATCACGGTTGACCGGTTGGACATCCCTGATCTAGATGATGGGAGTTAAGAGTCCCAACAACATATGAAGGGTGACAGATTCCTCATTCTCTCTGTAGAACCAGAGCCTACCTGTTGGATGCTATTACTTGCTTCCATTGAGATCCTCCCCCCTACCCCGCTGGGGCTTGCTCAGCATCCCCTGACCGCCTCCTACCATCCCTCCATGCTTCCTCACAACTTTAATGGGACTTTACATCATGTCTGGATGATAGTACATTGTACAGTCTCTGGGGAGCCAAATCTAGAATCATAGAATCATAGAGTTGGAATAGACCACAAGGGCCATTGAGTCCAACCCCCTGCCAAGCAGGAAACACCATCAGAGCACTCCTGACATATGGTTGTCAAGCCTCTGCTTAAAGACCTCCAAAGAAGGAGACTCCACCACACTCCTTGGCAGCAAATTCCACTATCGAACAGCTCTTACTGTCAGGAAGTTCTTCCTAATGTTTAGGTGGAATCTTCTTTCTTGTAGTTTGGATCCATTGCTCCGTGTCCGCTTCTCTGGAGCAGCAGAAAACAACATTTCTCCCTCCTCTATGTGACATCCTTTTATATATTTGAACATGGCTATCATATCACTCCTTAACCTCCTCTTCTCCAGGCTAAACATGCCCAGCTCCTTTAGCCGTTCCTCATAAGGCATCGTTTCCAGACCTTTGACCATTTTGGTTGCCCTCCTCTGGACACGTTCCAGTTTGTCAGTGTCCTTCTTGAACTGTGGTGCCCAGAACTGGACACAGTACTCCAGGTGAGGTCTGACCAGAGCAGAATACAGTGGCACTATTACTTCCCTTGATCTAGATGCTATACTCCTATTGATGCAGCCCAGAATTGCATTGGCTTTTTTAGCTGCCGCGTCACACTGTTGGCTCATGTCAAGTTTGTGGTCAACCAAGACTCCTAGATCCTTTTCACATGTACTGCTCTCAAGCCAGGTGTCCCCCATCTTGTATTTGTGCCTCTCATTTTTTTTGCCCAAGTGCAATACTTTACATTTCTCCCTGTTAAAGTTCATCTTGTTTGTTTTGGCCCAGTTCTCTAATCTGTCAAGGTCGTTTTGAAGTGTGATCCTGTCCTCTGGGGTGTTAGCCACCCCTCCCAGTTTGGTGTCATCTGCAAATTTGATCAGGATGCCCTTGAGTCCATCATCCAAGTCGTTGATAAAGATGTTGAATAAGACCGGGCCCAAGACAGAACCCTGTGGCACCCCACTAGTCACTCTTCTCCAGGATGAAGCGGAACCATTGATGAGCACCCTTTGGGTTCGGTCAGTCAGCCAGTTACAAATCCACTGAGTGGTAGCATAGTCAAGACCGCATTTTACCAGCTTCTTTACAAGAATATCATGGGGCACCTTGTCAAATGCCTTGCTGAAATCAAGGTAGGCTACATCCACTGCGTTCCCTTCATCTACCAGGCTTGTGATTCTGTAAAAAACAAGATCAGGTTAGTCTGACATGACTTATTTTTCAGAAATCCATGCTGACTATTGGTGATCACAGCATTCCTTTCTAGGTGCTCACAGACTGTTTGCTTAATGATCTGCTCCAGAATCTTCCCTGGTATTGATGTCAGACTGACTGGGCGATAATTATTTGGGTCCTCTCTTTTCCCCCTTTTTGAAAATAGAGACAACATTTGCCCTCCTCCAGTCTGCCGGGACTTCGCCTGTTCTCCAGGAATTCTCAAAGATGACTGCCAGTGGTTCTGAAATCACATCTGCCCAGTTCTTTTAATACTCTTGGATGCAGTTCATCTGGCCCTGGAGACTTGAATACATCTAGACTAGCCAAGTATTCTTGTACTATCTCCTTAGTTATCTCCTGACATATGGTTGTCAAGCCTCTGCTTAAAGACCTCCAAAGAAGGAGACTCCACCACACTCCTTGGCAGCAAATTCCACTGCGAACAGCTCTTACTGTCAGGAAGTTCTTCCTAATGTTTAGGTGGAATCTTCTTTCTTGTAGTTTGGATCCATTGCTCCGTGTCCGCTTCTGGAGCAGCAGAAAACAACCTTTCTCCCTCCTCTATGTGACATCCTTTATATATTTGAACATGGCTATCATATCACCCTTAACCTCCTCTTCTCCAGGCTAAACATGCCCAGCTCCCTTAGCCGTTCCTCATAAGGCATCGTTTCCAGACCTTTGACCATTTTGGTTGCCTCCTCTGGACACGTTCCAGTTTGTCAGTGTCCTTCTTGAACTGTGGGTGCCCAGAACTGGACACAGTACTCCAGGTGAGGTCTGACCAGCAGTGGCACTATTACTTCCTTGATCTA